TTTAATACCTCGTCAGATGACGTTTATTACTTTTTAATACTTTTTAATGGCCTTAATTTTGGCCAATTTTATTTACTACCTTTTACAACCCCGCGGAGACCCTGGAAGTAGTACAGTAGGTCATCCGGGTACTTCTCGCATACTTTTTCGAGTACTATGAATTTGAACATACCACATGTTTCACATACTGTTTTCGATAGGGTGCAGTCAATTTTTGTTTTGTTTTGTTTTGTATTGTTATATTAGAATGGCATTATTTTAAACAACAGTTTAAAAACTAAATAAAATTAAATAACATTTGTTGCCAATTCTGGCATAAAATCCCATACTGTCACACTAAATTTACAAAAAAAAAAAAAATACAATCAGATATTTTGAAGAATGTTGGAAACTTGTTGGAAGTTATTGTTAATGGTAGTGGAAAACTGTGGCTGCATCCAAAATGGCATACTACTTGAGTATGTACTAAATTTGAATTCACTACAAGACCCTTAGAAAAGTATGTTCTATATGAACGTGATTAGTAGGAATGGAACTCAGATGTTACATCTGACATCTCAGGTTCAAGTGACCTATCCGCGTCAGTTGCGTCAATTCACTTCAGAATCTCCCCGGAATTAGTAGGCCATCCGGGTACTTCTCGCATACTGTAAACACTGTACTACTCATTTCACATCTTGTTTTTAACGGACTATATAATATGGAAGTATGGCCTTTTGTTGAAGCCTTTCTGTTTTGTTTTGTTTTTTCTTGCTATTTTTGTTGTTTCTGTTTTTGTTCAGTTTTTCTTTTTCAGTTTTTGTTGCGTTTTGTTTCTGTTCTATTATCATTTTTTGTTCTTTTTCTTTCTGTTTCAGTTTTTGTTTTGTTTCTGTTCTGTCTTTTGTTCTGTTTTTGTTTTGTTTCTGTCTTTGTATCATTTTGTTTGGTTTTGTTTCTGTTTTTGTTGTTTCTATTTTTGTTCTGTCATTCTGTTTAGATTTTTGTTTTGTTTTTGTTTCTGTTTTTGTTCTGTTTTGCCAACTTATCCATCATATGTTTTTTTTTACGCAGCGGATGCCCTTCCAGTTGCAACCCATTACTGGGAAACACCCATACACACTCATACACTACGGACAATTTAACCTACCCAATCCACCTGTCCCACATGTTTTTGGACTGTAAAACCCATGCAAATGCAGGGAGAACATGCAAACTCCACACATAAACTTTAAATGGCCCAGCTGAGGCTCGAGATAGCAACCTTCTTGCTGTGAGGCGAATGTGCTATCCACTGCCCCACTTTGCTGCCCCAATCAAAACTAAAACAGAACAGAAACAGAAAGAAAAACAAAACAAAAATAGAAACAACACAAAAACCGAAACAGAATGAAAGTGAGAGTGCATGGCTGTTTCCCAGTACTGTGTTGTGGCTAGAAGGGCATCTGCTGCATAAAACATATGCTGGAATAGTTTCATTCTGCTGAGACACCGCCTGATAAATAAGTGACCAAGCCGAAGCAAAATGAATGAATGATGAATAATACTGAACCACTTTGATGATGGACTTTGGCTGAGGAATTTCAGAATGACCAAAACAACATTTCGAATATTTTACAATGTGCTCAAAACACTGATTTGTCCATTACTGCTGTCTCATCACACAAAATCACATTACCTTTTACGAATGATCAAATTTAATCTGTAAATGTGTTTCCATAATTTTTTTCTTATTAGTCAACAAAATCATCCTACATGAAGGATCTTAAATCTTACTGTTTTATGACAACAGTCTCTCCATCAGAAAAGATCTCCAAAGATGCCGTTTTACATTGTAAAAATATCAGTGTTTTATAAAACAAATGATGACAGCAGAAGTCAATAATTTACATGAATTATTTAGCCTGACATGTTTACTGCTACAAAATATTGTAAATGTTTCTCAAATAAAATTAAATTGTGTACAAAGGGGAAAAGGTTTTGTTTTTAACCCAGGCGTTTTAAAAGAGTATATGTTAGAGCAGTAATCTCAATATCGTGATACCTTGAAACAGTGATATATATATATCCAATGTTGTCATACCGTCACAATCTTATACTGGCCCATGCCTACTCAGTTGGGCACATACATTTTCTCTAAATGCATTTATATCTTGGCATTTCCATTATTGTTCATATATTTCCATTTTTATTATGATATTCCAAAATGCGCATAAAAATTGGTGAACGGAAACGGTTTCCAACATTCTTCAAAAATTCTCTTTTTATTTTCAAAAACAAACAAACAAAAGATCAAGTAGCTTTGCAACAAGTGAAGGCGGAGTAAATGATGGCATACAGTTACATTCAGAATAGATTTTAAAGTACTATTACTTGTCTGTAAATCACTAAATGGCCTAGGACCTCAATACTTTACAAATATGCTCACTGAATACAAACCTAACAGATTACTCAGATCTTTAGGATCAAGTAAACCAGAAATTCCAGGAGTTCAGTCAAAGCTGCATGAATCAGCCTTCAGCTACTAACAGCGCCCCCTGCTGCTGGAGTCAGCTTCCAGAAATGATCAGATGTGCTCCAACATTAGACGCATTCAAATCAAGACTGAAAACACTTCTGTTTATCTGTGCCTTTACTGAATGAGCACAGTGAAACGTCCAACAGACCACACTATTGTGTCTTTCTTTCTTTTTCATTCTTTTATAACCGGTTTCAACACATTTTAATCTGTTTTTATATTATTTGTTTTTATACAAGCTGACTTTTTTATTCCTGTTTATGCAAAGCACTTTAATTTGCCACTGTGTATGAAATGTGCTATATAGAGTTAAAGTCAGAATTATGAGCCCCCCTGAATTATTAAACCCTGTTTGTTTTTTCCCCAATTTCTGTTTAACGGAGTGAAGATTTCTTCAACACATTTCTAAACATAATAGTTTTAATAACTCATCTCTAATAACTGATTTATTTCATCTTTGCCAAAATAATATTTGACTAGATATTTTTCCAAGACACTTCTATACAGCTTAAACTGACATTTAAAGGCTTAACTAGGTTTATTAGGGTTAACTAGGCAGGCTAGGGTATTTAGGCAAGTTATTGTATAACGATGGTTTGTTCTACAGTCGAAAAAAAAATGGTGATTAAAAAAATTAATAACTGCTTTTATTTTAGCCGAAATAAAACAAATAAGACTTTCTCCAGAAGGAAAAATATTATCAGATATTCTGTGAAAATGTCCTTGCTCTGTTAAACATATTTTGGGAGATATTAAAAAAAAATATAAATTCAAAGGGGGGGCTAATAATTCTGTAAACTGTAAATAAACTTGCCTTGCCTTACTGCTTTCCCAAATCTAGCAAATTTGAGACTAAATGGAAAACAAATGGAAACTTTAACTTGTTTAAACTGCTTCTCAAGTGCTTCACAAATGTCTCCTATAAAGTTTTAATATGCTATAATGTGTTCAATCATACCAAGACATCAAAATCTGCAACCAACTGTCAAAGTGAACTATATAAAGTATCATAAACAACCAAGAACAACATACCAGCTATTCACATCCACTTTTTAAATTTTAAAGGGCTAGTTCACCCCAATAAATAAGAATTTACTCATTATTTACACACCCTCAAATGGTTCTGAAACTTTGAGTTTCTGTTGAACGCAAAAAAAAACAATTTAAATGATTTTTGTAATCATGCCAAGACAACTGTCAATGTGAACTATTTAAAGTACCATAAACAACCAATATTAGCTTTTAAAGGGATAATTCACTAAAACAATGACAATTTACTCATTATTTACACACCCTCAAATGGTTTTAAAACTTTTATTTTCTGTTAAACACCAAAAAAAAAAAAACCATGATAATAAAAATGACAAACACAATGAACAAACACTATGGATGTCAATGGTTACCTGATTCAAACATTTTTTTCTAAATATCTTCTGTGTTTTTTTAAAAGAAAAGGTTTGGTAAATGGTAATTTTGAGATTTTGGGTGAACTATCCCTTTAATGCATAATATAAAACTAAAAAACTGTCTAGTCTATATTTTAATTCACCTTAAGAAATTCAACATCTTGATGCACAGGCAAAACAAGTAACAACTCAGCTAAAGTATCCAAATGCGAATGTGTGTGGCGATCCGTACAGCAGCTGCGCTACAAATCCAGCATTAGAAACACGCATAAATGTTGTAAAATGTTGACACTCACCCAAGTTTTCCTCCACGAGTCCCAGAAGCCCAATGAGCAGCACACACAGCCAACGCAAGCAGCTCCTATAGAGATCCATCGTGCGTCTGCAGAACTCCAGTGAGCCAGAGAATCCCTCAGCTCTATGTGTGTGTGTCCTCTACAGAATGTGAGAAACTGCACACCCCACAGCAGCCTCAATCACAGCTTCACACCGACTGAGAGAGAGACATAGAGAAAGAAAGAGAGAGAGAGAGAGAGAGAGGGAGAGAGAGACAGAGGGGAGGGGATTATTCACAGTCTTACACACAGTAGCTTCAGTGTAGTTTGTCCAAGCTCCGCCCCCCACCACTTTTTTAACCACACCCCCATGTTTTCACCTCACCCTCCCTTTGCATTTTTTTTTAAAACCATCCAAACACACCGTTTGCAGGGAATACTAGTATACAGTGTGCTGGTACAGTGTGCAATGTGTTGCTTTAAAAGTGATGTAATTGTTATATTTATTTGATTAGCATTAATTCTGGGGCACAGAAGCGGAAACAAATTATTATCAATATATTTGTGAAATGAAAAACTGCATAATATAATGTATTGTAATGTAATGTAATGTAATAAAAAGCTCAACTTTTAACTAAATATATATTTTATTCAATTATTTTGATATGGTATTTTATTTATAACACACAACACTATTATGCATTTTATTTAATTATTTAAAAAAAATAAATTGATAGAAATTAATATAAAATAATAAATATAACATAATATAATATAATATAATATAATATAATATAAAAGCTTAAATTATACCTCATTATTTTGCCTTAATA